ACCTCTTAAGCTTGGCCAGCGCCTCAGACCTGCCCTGCATCAAAGAAACCCTTGAACTGAATGGAGATATGGTCCGGTCCTATCTCCTACAGTTTTTAAAATCCGGAACAGAGGGAGATGATCCTGGAGCAGCCCATAGCCCACAAGAAAGATACCAGATGGTCAAAATGGCCCTGAAGCATATAAGCAGTATACAGGCACTAACTGGGGACACAGCCAGAAGAGCTATCATGGACTTTTTAGAAAATATTTTGACTATTTATTTTGATGCCTTTGGGTCACAAGTGACACTTCTAGAGTTGTCAGATCGGTGACTATTCCACCATACTTTCCAGATGTCAAACATGGTCATAAGAAGATGCAAGCTTGAGCATAGGTTATGTGGGATTTAATTTTAACAGACAGGAACAGTTTATCCACTATTTATTTAGAATAGGTTAGCAGCTATTTGATGTCTTCTCAAAGGGCTCAGCTGCTTTGGAGAGTGGCTGCACTGCACTGGTCATGGTCAGGGTATTGAAAGCTCTAACCTGTGCAACCCGTACCCCAGGCATCAGGTTGTAGTGTTGGCTGAGCACACTGGGAAATTGTGAAGGGTGTTTAGTCTCAGAAAAAGGAAGGAATTAGAATGTTGTGTATCTCCAGGAACTTTTTTATTTTATAATAAGCTAATGAAAATGGTGTGGCCACAATCTCCTGTTCTGGTCAGGTCACACTTAGAGAAAGCTTTGAGCAGATCAGATGCTTAGTCAGTCTGCACTAGAACAACTGCATCAGCTGATAAAATCCTGAAAAAGTTCCTCTTAGTAAGTAGTTGCTGTGCCAGGCTCCCCCAGTGCCAACCTCAAGGATCCCCTCAGCCTCTCCACGATTCAGGGGCCAGAGTGAACTCCTGGCATGCAGGAGCCCTGGCCTAGGCCACAATACCGACTCCTATGCAGATTATCTTTTGAGAAGAGTAGCCTCAATTTATGGTGGTTTTTCCACCTTTTAATTTGTGCCTTCAAAAATGATTACTTGTGTAATTTCAGTGGTTGAATAGAAGGGTTTTTAAACTATATTTTGATAATGCCCAAGTAGTGGTGAAAGTCATTTCTCACAGAACAATTATTTACATTTAGATTTTGCATTTGTCTTTTGCCTGCCAACAATTTATTAGAATTTATTTCAAAAAGGAACTTAGGGACATTTAAAAACCAATTAAAATATTCCACAATTACTTTTGACCTAAGATAAATAAGAATCAAGATGTAGAGAATGGGCTCTGGTGATCTAGTACTTAATTACCATTTAGATATTTATTTTAAGGGTTTATGTTTTCAGTTTTTCTCTTTGTCTTTGAGTTGCTCTTTTCTGTCCTTTAACATGTTGTTCAAAACTGCTACTGAGGCAGTGACAAGGGGACACAGCACTCAGATTTCCTAAAGTCTTCATTTTCCACTAGTAGAGAATTAGTTTCCAAAGAATTAGACCACAGGCATAGTGAAAACACAAAAGAACATTTTTTAAACTTAACCTTCTTTGGAGATGATTCTGAATATGGATTGCTGTAGAGGACCCAGGAGACTGAATCAAACCTGTCCTGACCTACAGGAATTCTGACTCTTCTCAAATCTTGGAACTTCTTTGTCTTTAATACATTAAATGGCAGCTTCTTGACTTGCACTTTTAAGTAAAAATGTGGCTTATATACCTTAATGGCCTGGGGGTTTTTTGAGCTTTTACTGGTGGGTTTCTTGATAAAATATTTATGAAATGTCATTCTTATCTTTTGCTTATTTCAAACAAAATCTCCTTTATTTATATCTTTTTTTTTTTTTTTTTTTGAACCTGTAGTTTCTACAAAGGTTTCCAGGCCTGATATGGATGTTCGTGTTTACATAAAGGGAAAGAAAAGATTAAGCATCTCTAGAAATTCCAGGAGTTGGGTCTGGGCATCAGTCTCAAAGGGATGCTGCTTTTCTTACTGAGGCCTCCTGCGCGTGCATCAGAGGGCAGACACCTGTCAACACCTTGGGCTGGTGCCTCAGTAACACTACTAGTACTGAAGCCACCCAGAAAATAGAGTTAGAACTTACTTTAATGCAAAAAGCCCTGCTGATTCAGAATTCTAATTCAAACATTAAATTCTAGGCTGGGGATGTGGGTCAGTGATTCAGAGTTTGCCTAATATGCATAAGATCCTGGGCTCAATCCCCAACACCATAAAGAAGTTTTTTAAAATGTTATACTCTGAAATTTGTTTTGATATTTAAAAGAAAGATTGGAGCTACAATGGCTGGAGCCTTCTTCATTAGATGGACAGCATTGAGACTCATCTTCGAACCTTTTCTGAGATCAATATAAAACCTGCTAACTGCCACTCTCTTCTAAAACTCTAGAAAGACATCCATGTAACCCCGCTCTGTGATATTAGTCAGTAGTGAGGCGGGTGTCCTACAGAGATGAGAGCAGATTGAAACCTCCTCTTGAACATAGAGACAAAGACTTCCTTGATTTTGGTAGTCATAGGTGAATGTTGACCAAAGTGGCACCACACCATCTTTCCAACCTAAGAGCGTAGTGAGTTACTTTGGTTCATTCAGCCTTTACTTCATTAAAATGGCAGTGACGAAGAGCTGGGCTTAAACCCAGGCTCTGTAGATTTCTGTCTGTGGAAGTTCCCTAACCTCTTGTGTCTTAGTCTTTTATCTGTGAAATGGAGATAATGGTATCTTCTTTGTAATGATGTTAAAATGATTAGATTAATCAATACCTGGAAAGTTCTTAGAACATCTCTGGCGCTCAATAAATATCAAACATTTCTTTCCTTGCATTTTTGGTGTCCTGGGCAGAGATACTGCCAACATTCCAGCAGTCTCTGTGAGGACAACAGCTGGATTCCCTCAGCTGTACTTTTAGGTGAGGCGATAGCTGGGATGTCTCGGGAACCTGGATCCATCAGTGGAGAGGCACCACCACAGGATTTCCAGTCTGCCAATAAGAGCCTCAGTACTGTCCCCACAAGTTCCTCAAGGGGAAGCAAGGGATAGGCCACATTGACCCTTTTTCTGCTTCTGCCTCTTCACCCATCCCAAGAGCCAGTCTTCAGAATCTACAGATCCAGCTTGTACAAGCTCCAAAATTACACCCAGTTTTAAAGGACAGCTCTGCTACTTAATAACTATGTCCTCTGGCAAGTTATCTCTAAAGTGGGGCTAACAGTTTCTCACAGAGTTGTTCAGAAGCAAGTAACACAACATGAGAAGCACCTCGTTCAGGCCTGGTAGGGGCCCCTTGCTGCTCTTTTTTTGGCATCCTCCTTGGGCTGGGATGTCTCCATCAGCACACTGGGGGGGAACCTTGAGGAAGGAAGGAGGTCTGGCTGCTTCCAGTGCACACCTTGAGTCCTCAAGCCTGAGCTAAAGGGTCCTTAGCTCCACTGGATGACATTGTGCCAGGGTTAGCGGGGGGGGCAAGTATCAGATAATGATTGTATGTGCATTTGTCATTTCTGTCCACATCCCTGAGGACCACCACCACCATCAGGAGCAGAGGCTTACGGTTATAATGGGAGAGGAGGACATTGGTGGAACACCCTCTCTGGGAGTGTCATGAGAGCTGTTGCTCTCTTCCACCCCATGTCCAACTAGGATTTACTAAAGAAATGCAGGCAAGTTCTATTAATAAAATGCTATCACATTAATTTAAAAATGCTATCACACCAAATTGAAAAAGCCAAACAGTCATTTTTATGGATGCTACAAGAGTATAAAAAATATTGTCTTTTTCCAAGCAAAATTCCTTTTAAAACAATAAGGAATTTAAAAGATACTTCACCAATATAATAAAACATATCTTAGCAGTGACTTCTCCTTTAAAAACTCAGAATCAAAATAAGCAAACCTAAGTGTCATTACTGTCTCCCAATATTGTACACAATTTAATAGCCAATGTGATTAAATAAGCCAAAAATAAAATTTAAAAAATTTTTTCAAGCAATTCCAAATTATCATTACATAACACCAGCCTGAGAGACTGAATTCACAGATGATTATGTGCAGAAATGAAGAAAGTAAATCAACTCAGAAAATAATAGAATAAATAGAAACAAACAGTAAAACATAACTGCTTTCCGAGGCAGTCAAAGAAGGAAAATCAAAACTGTCTTTCTAGCCAGAAGACCAGTCTTTCTTCTCACTACTGGTCACCCTTAGCCAACAGTATGCCAGGGAAAAATAGGACTAAGTGACTAAGAATATTTTGGAATGAATTAAAACCATTCATTAAAAATGAATCACTGGTACTCAAAAGATGGGCTCTAATTTGTGCTTTACAGTGAATGGTCATAACTAATATCTATTGGCTACTTTTTATTTGCCAAATATTGCAAAATTTTTCTTAGCTGCTTTATCTTAATGCATTTTTTAAAATATTTATTTTTTACTTGTAGGTGGACATATATCTTTATTTTACTTTTTTTATGTGGTGCTAAGGATCAAACCCAGGGTCTGACGTGTGCTAGGTAAGCGCTCTGCCTCTGAGCCACAATCCCAGCCCTATTTTAATGCATTTAAAACTCCTAAAACATCCTGTGACAGACAAGAATATACTTTATAGCTTTTTAGTTCCTTAAAAATTTCAGTCCTCTTTGGTTCTTTTTAATTTTCTTAGCAAATTTTTAAAAGTACCAGCAAGCACTTGGATACCCAGTGGCAGTAAATTTCAGCAGTGTGGTAGAAAGGCCAGCAGAGGGAGACAGAGAACACAAAGTAGTTCAGATTCTGCTTTTACAAGCTGTTTATTGGGTTGCTGTCTTTAAAAACATTAGTTCAAATCCAGATGTATATTGAAATCATCCAAGTGAATTTTTTTTTTTTTTTTGTACGAGGATTGAACCCAGGGGCGTTTAACCACTGAGCGACATTCCCAGCCCTTTTTATGTTTTATTTAGAGACAGGGTCTCACTGAGTTGCTTAAGGCCTTGTTAAATTGCTGAACTTTGAACTCATGATCCTCCTTCCTCAGCCTCCCAAGCTGCTGGAATTACAAGCATGCACCACCTTGCCTGACCTTTAAGGCCCATTGATGGGCAGGTGCCCTCTGAGTTTAGTGGTCTGAGATATGGCCTTGCCATTGGAAGTTTTTAAAACTGCACAAGTGATTCTGATGGCAGCAAAGTCTGAGAACTGCCACTTTGGAACATGCTACAATGGTGGTCTCAACCTGTGTGCACAGCGGTGTTGCAGAATCACCTGGGAACTTTGAAACACAGACCTAGGTTGTTGTAGTCTTAATCTCCTGAAACAGTGTCTGCTGAAATGGTGATACAGAGAACTTAAGATAGTTAAATACATAATCAGTACTAAGTCTGAGTCTCATATGGAGTTCTAACATATCAGACTAACATTAGGTATCATATGTTTTAAAGAAATTTGGGGCAGGTGGGGGGTGGACATCAGCTCCTGCATGCTAGGCATATACTCTACCACTGAGCTATACCCCCAGCTCCTCAAAAAAAAATATTATAGGAGAAAAGTCTTAATTGAGAGAACAAAAACTATCAGCTTTATTTTTCCTCTGGAAATGGATACAAGACTAGCTTGGCCACCCCTGAGCCATCTTCTGCTCACAGCGGTGGTTTTCCCACAGTGGGACAGAATTTTCCTCTCCAGAGAAGGCCAGGCGTCAGGTGTCCCGTGTCAGGTGCCAGAGCAATTACAAAGTTGTGTTTGGTTGATCCATGGAACCGTCCTGGGAAAAATAGGATGGCTCAATACAGTGGATTCCCAGTCTTCACAGGGTCTGCTCCCTGAATTTGTCTTCACTTTTCTTTATCAAAGTGTTTTAATTATTTTAATATTAGAGCTATTATAAAACAATTTTCTAAATAACATGTATTTTCCAGTGTTATAAAAGTAGCGTGTCTTTAATGTGGAATACTTGGGGAAAAACACAGAAGTGTGTATATGTAAAAATTACCTGCTATCCCCTGAGAAAAATCAGTGTTATCATTTCAGTGTTTTATTACAGACTTTTGTATGTGTGTACATGTGGACTTATATACACCTCAAATGTGTGTTTGTGCAAGTACACAATCTCATATGTCTCATGGGGAACTGAACTACAAAGCTGTGGTCAAAAGACATTTTTTGTAATCTACTATTTTACTTAATGGTAGGTTGTAAGCATTGATGATTCTTCTAAAACATGGCTTTAATAACTACATAATAGTCCATTGTATTGATATACAATAATTTAACCAATTCTCTAATGTTGGATGCTGTTTTCTAATTTTTAGTTGATTTACATGTAACTCCTTTTTTTTTTTTTTTTTTTTGGCTACCAGGAATTGAACCCAGAGGCACTTAACCCCTGGGCTACATCCCCAGTCCTTTTTACTTTTTTATTTTAAAACAGGATCTCACTAAGTTGCTTAGGACTTCACTAAGTTGCTGGGGCTGGCTTTGAACTTTCAATTGTCCTGCCTCACCCTCCTGTGCCACCATGTAACACTTTAATCTCTATTTGCACCTTGAATGAGGGACGTGAGGCCGAGATGTGACTTCATCACTTCCCAAGCACTTGGCCAGCTGTTTGCACTGCTGATCTAATACCCAAACCCTCCTTTCCGCATGGCTTGGGAATGTCTCCCTGCTCATTCCTGCAGGTCTGTGTGGGCCTTCCCCCTCTGTTCATTCCACTGCACTTGTATTCTCATACAAGCCCAGACTTCTTTAACATCCTAACAGAAAGCTCAGTGGCCAGGTGACCAATTTATACTAGACTGGTCTCATTTGGTTCTGGGACTGGATAGAGTCTGACCACCTTTTGCTTGAGAACGTGGGCTGTAGCTATTTGTTGCTGAATTTTCTTTCTTTATTTTTGTGATACTAGGGATCAAACCCAGGGCCTTGTACATGCTTTGCAAGTGACCACCACTGGGCCACATTCCCAGCCCTAGAACTGAATTTTATAGCAAGCATTTTCTAGCCAAGAAGAAAGAGGGTATTGAAGATTGTAGAACCAACCCTTCTTAATAATTCCAGTTGTGTTCCTTAAGAACACCAATACTGGGGCTGGGGCTGTAGCTCAGTGGTAGAGCGCTTGCATAGCATGCATGAGGCACTGGGTTTGATTCTCAGCACCACATAAAAATATATGTCAAGATCAATGTAATGTTTTGAGCAACTAATAAATTTCTGATGTTAAAAAAAAAATAAAATAAACAAAATAAAGGCATTTTGTCCACCTACAACTACAAAAAATATTTTTAATGAAATAGAACACTAATACTGCAACAGTACATCACAAATGCCTGTTACCTCGCAGTCTCCTACCAGGCCTCAAGTAGCTCCTCCTGTCCATTCACCTTTCTATCTCCCACCCAGGCCCAGGCCAGGCACCCTCCCGAAGACTCTGAGAAATCTGTCGAATTAATTGGGAAAGTACTAAATCAATCAGAGTCAGTCTCTCTCTCTCTCTCTCTCTCTCTCTCTCTCTCTCTCTCTCTCTCTCTCTCCAGTAGTACTGAAGATTGACCCCAGGTACACTCTGCCACTGACCTACTTCGCCAGCTCCCTTTTATTTTGAGACAGGGTATCACCAACTTGCCCAGGCTGGTCTTGAACTTGTGATCCTCCTGCCTCAACTTCTGGCTACAGGCATGCGCCAATGCCCCACCACACACAGCTCAAATGTCTGCTTTCAGGGATGAGCAAACTGAGGCCTCTGAGAAAACAGTGGCTTACCCCTGATAACACTGCCCATCGAGGGTGGAGCAGGGCATGAATTCGGGTCTTGGAGCTTCCTTTGACCAATGCTGTCCCCTGCACGGCTCTGCCACCATGCTATGTTGAAGCCAAACACAGAAGAAATCAAAATACAAAGAGTAGTTATGACCAGGCTTGTTGGTTTTGGCCATGTTTGACGTTGGTCTTCCCAAACATGGTTCTTCTGCTAGTTCAGACCTGAGAGGAGAACCTTCACCCAGCTGCGCTCTCCACTGGAGCAAAGCCTTCCAGGACTGTCCAGTCCATCCCACCCGCTAAACCTCAAGGGAACGAAGGTCCTAGAGGGGAAATGAGTCACCCAGAGTCACATGGTGGCAGCAGGTCTGGACTCCCTTCACGGTGCTCCTCTGATCTTGGGGAAAGGAGGTCATCAACGTGGGCTGAGCAGCGGGGAGGAACCTAGTGATTTCCAGGACAAAGACCCATGGAGGCCTCCAGCACCCTACAGCCTCCAACTCCCTCCAGAGACAGAGAAATCAGTGTGGGGAGCCAGGGGAAAAGAAGCCCCATGGGTAGCAAGCAGGTGGGCCTCGCCCCGCCCAGAGGGACAGTCTGCACTCTACCCATGTTCATATCTGCTCTTTACAGCTTTGTCATGATGAGGCAATTGCCTTCCTGAGCCTGGAAATTCATAGTGGACGAAGGGACAAGGACGTTTCACCCCAGTCTGGCCCTTTGAAGGTAGACTTGTATGCTATAGTCTGGGTTGGGGCCTTTGTCTTTAGCTTTGGGGGAAGACTGCCCCACCCTAACCCCTGCAGTACCAACACCTCCTGGCACCTGGCTGAGGCTGGGGAATTGCAGGTAGAGGTCACCCTGGGACAGGAATGTGCTAGAACTTGTGGTCCAGGGGAAGGGAGGAGATTGGGGCTGGCTGCATCCCCTAGGATTATTTTGGGAGCTCAGAAGAGTGTGAATGAACAGCTGATAAGGCTGCCTAGGGGGTCCCTGCTCCCAGGTGGACCAGTGGGCATCCATTCCCCCTCTGCCTCCCACCCTCACATGCCACCAGTGAACACGAGTACCACCTGCAGGTCTGTAGCTAGAAATATGGATAACACATGGGCCCTGGCCTTGAGAGTGAGGCTGTGAGGCTCAGTGAGGCTGTCCCTGGGGTTGCAGAGAGGCTGGTTCAGGGCTAAGGAGACAGAGGGTCCCACCCAGCCCACCAACAGAGAGTAGCCAGGAAGACTCCTAGTGGAGGGTGAAAAAATGGGGAAAGACATTTCAGGTTGGGGGAGTGGTCTCCCAAGGCATGGAGGCAGGGACCAGCCGGCACTTGGGAAAGTGTGTGTGGTTAAGCATGGCAGATGAATGGTGGGCACGTGTGTGAGCAACTGGGAGCTCAGGATATGTTATGAGGGGTTTCTAGAAGAGGGTGGGGCCACAGTCAGATTTGAGTGACGGAAGGAAGGAAGGCCCTGTAGGGTTCTCCACCCCTGGCTGCACATTATAGTCACCTGGGGAGCATCAGGAAGCACCAGTGCCTGGTCCCACCTGCAGAGAGGCTGCTGTAATCCGGTGAGGTGTGGCCTGGGCACTGGGACATTGATACTCCCTCCCCTGGAAGCTGAGGGTGCAGCTGAGGGTGACCCACTGGAGAGATCCCCATTAGGAGGCACTGCAGCCTTCCAGGGGAGAACTACAGAGGAGTCTCTCTGGAGATGGAGCAGGGCACAAATTCAAGGGGGAGAACACCAGCCGGCTCAAAGAGAGGAGAAAACAGCTGGCATGCTCCTCCTCCTCCTCCTCCTCCTCCTCCTCCTCCTCCTCCTCCTCCTCCTCCTCCTCCTCCTCGAAAGGCCTCACACAGTTACCACGTGACCAGGAACACCGCAGAGAAATGAGAACGTATGTTCACCCAAAAATTCTTGCACAGATGTTCATGGCAGCCTTGTGCACAAGAGCCCCAAACTAGAAACAACCCAGATGTCCACCAACTGATGAGTGAGTGAACAAAATGTTGTTTACCTATCCAATGGCTATGGAAATAATGAGATAGTAATATAGTCCCCAACATGGGTGACTCTTGAAAAGTTATGCCGAGTCAAAGAAGCCAGTCACAAGTGTTAGACTCCATGTACATGAGATGTCTGGAAGAGGAAAACCCATAGAGATGAAGAGCAGATTAGTGGTTGACAGGGCCTGGGGGAAGGGGGCTGTGTGTTTTGGGGGTAGGATGTCTAAGAAGTGCAGGGCTTCATTTTGGGACAATGAAAACATTCTGAAATTGATTGCAGTGATCGTTCCTTGACTGGGAATAAACAGAAAGCCACTGAATTACACACTCTCCATGGGTGATTCGTATGGAAACGAATCACATTTTTCACTAAAGCTGTTAAAAATAGCAAAAGGGAAGATTCAAGCTTAACCTCAGATTAGATTTTGTACCTGGGTGTCAGACAAGTGGTAGCTTCATAAATTGGCTGGAAAATAGAGGTAAGAGGAACAACTAGGGAACAGAATGATATTGATTTATTCATTGTTCAGTAAATAATTTTTGAGCACCAGGCAGTTGGAAATATCAGTGAACAAGATCAAGAAATGAAAAGGAAAAGAAACGCTTTTCTTGTCGGTCTTATACTCTAGTATGAAGAGAAAATAATAAAAAAAAATACAATAAATGAATTAGGGTGTAAGGTGATCATCTGCGCCATGGAGAAGCACAGAGCACGCGCCAGGGGGAGAGTGAGGGGTGAGGGTCTGGCTTTCCATGAGGCCACCAGGAAGGCCTCCCTGGGAAAGAGACCTTTGAACAGAAACTTAAGCGACCATCCAAGGAGGAGCATTCTGGATACAGGGCACCTGGTGTGCAACAAGTGTATTAGAGGCACAGCAGGAGACACAGTAGATCAGTGAAGGACAGAGAGAGAGAAGGGCCAGAGAGCAGGGACAGGAAAAGCAGGGGCACAGCAGGTGGGGAGCAAGACTCATCCTCCACCGTGAAGACCTTGGATCATCTCACAAGGGCCATGAGAGGGAGGGCTGTGAGCAGAGAAGTCCTTGGCCCACTTGTAGGGTGCCTCTGGGTCAGGGCTTCTCAGTGACAGCACCACTGACACATGGGACGGGGTCATTCCTGTGCATTGGGGCACATTTAGCAATATCTCTGACCTCTGCCTCTAAGATGCCAGTAAGAACCCCTCACCCTAGCCATGACAACCAAAAATATCTCCAGACACTGCCCTAGGCTGGCGTGGAGGGACACCAAAAGTTGAGAACCACTGTTCTAGCTGGGGAGAGGTGAGGCTCCACAAAGCTCAGGTGGAGACAGGCTGGATTCGGGGTACCCATGAAGCCTTCAGGATGAGATGCTGTGAGCTGCCCAGGCACACTCAGAGGCTTTTGGAACAAATATCCCAGGAAAAAGGGAGCCACACCCGGAGGGGCTGCTCAGTATCCTTACCTGAACCAGGATTGTGCTAAAGGTATGGAGGGAGATATTGGCACGAGCAAAATGAGCTTCTGACCTACCTCACAACACAGACACCTCTGATCCAAGGTAATCTATAGGTAAGGAGACCAGAGACAAGGGAGAGTGAATACAGCTTGTCCAGAAGGAAACCACATGGGTCATGGAGATTTCCGTGCCCCCTCTGTCTTTTAGGTACTGAGAATTGAACCCAGGGGAGCTACATCCCCAGCCCTTTCATTTTCTATTTTGAGACAGGATCTCACTAAGTTGCTGAGATTAGCCTAGAATTTGCCATCTCCTACCTCTGAATTGCTGGGATCACAGAGCTATTTCCTGATTCTCTTCTATAAACTAGGCAATTTCACTCACATAGTCTCATTGAATGTTTGAAAAATAAAACTGTAAGTAAATGTTATAGGATTTATTTATTTATTTATAGATTAGGAAACTGGGGCTCAAAAAGTCTGAGTAACATATTACAAGGTCACCCTGTTAGTGACAGAGCTGGCATTTGAACGCAGGCTGCTGGCTTCTAGAAGCTTCTAGGAGGCGAGACTTGGACTTGGCCTTGAAGATTTCAACGGGCAGTGCAAAGGTGAAGTGGGGCAAGGTCACATACCAGGAAAGTGGCTGCTTGGGCAAGGCTTGGCTGGGGAATGAGGTCCAGGGATTTGGGGCAGGGCTATTTCTTGGAACCTAGAGCTTGCTGGTGGTGTCCCAGGAGCCATCTGTCCTATGTTGTCATACCTGGATAGTACCTACACTATGAATATTTTTATAGAATCAACTCAGTTTTTTTTTTTAATTTGAATTTGTGTATTTTAAGAGAATTGTTAAACTACTTAAAACTGGGAAAATAATGTTGTTGACCATGGGAAGTAGGCACCAAAAGAAAGACAATAAAACAGAACGATATATAAGATTTTTAGACTCATAAACTCTCTGAGCTTGAGCCCCATTTTCTCTGTTTGACACAAAGTGGGGTCTAGGGGAGAGTGCTATCGGAGAAGAAGGGACAGATTACCAAGTTTAAGTTGTTAAATTGTCCCAGCCTTGCTATAGACCCCTTAAGGATTCAGAAAGACTGAATTTGGTTTCCTCGCTAGAGATTTTGATTTGTTCTTAAAGATTTGCCCACCTGCCACCCCACCGCCCAGAGCACCACGCACTGAGGGAGGTGGCACACAGCTCTCCTAGCACCTGAGTGTCTCCTGTCCGTGGTCACTTGCCCCTCCCTCTGGTCTAAAACTCAAGGACAGGTGTTTTCTACACTCCTCTTACAATTCCAAAGGTCTGTCCTTGCTCAAGACCTTGGGGTTTGCATGCAATACGTTTAATGTCTTCGTCATTTATTTGCAAAGCACGTTTCGGGGTCTGTAAAACCATGAACTTGCTGGTGCTGCGCCAGTTCTGAGTCTGAAACAGGCCAGGCAAAGAGGACAGAGAGATGCCACCAGGGCAGGGCAACGGTGGAAGTCAGATAAAAGCTCAGTGAACTTGAGTCCACCCATTAAACAGGAAACTGAGCAAGGGACAATCCACTGTCCTACCCCCCACTCCAGTGCTCTTTCCACTCAGCCCTCCTGAAGCTTCCTCAGGACCAAAGTTGACTGCTCTGAGTGGGAGAGTTTTGCCTCCTTGGGAATCCCTTTCTAGCTGCAGGATCTGAATTTAACCTCAGAAACCGTGAAGTAGAGGCAGATCCTCTTGCAAGCTGTTCTCTTTGGGTCCTTGAAGTGTCAGTGACCTCGCTGGGCTCTTTCCTAAGTAACACCCAGCAGTGGATGCCCCAGGAAGACTCATGGACCCTTGAAGTTCTGCAGAAGGAGGGACCTGGCATCACTCATTCAACCAAATTTATGGTGACTCTCCATGTCCCAGTGTTTCCGGCCCAGATCTCATTTTACAGAACAGACTAAGCACTTCCGTCCAGAGGCTCTCAATTTAAATGCAACCTCGAATTTCAAGCGGGCCCCTTCAAGGTGCAGGGTAATCCTACCACACATGCCCTGTCAAGCCACGTCGGCATATCCCACTCAATATTTGTTGAATGAATGGATTGAACAAATGATGTTTTTATTTAGGATTCCATTCATGCTCTAATTCTGCTTATCCAACTTTGAACAGGTCACAGCATAATTTTTAAAAGCAGGTTTTGATGTCCCTTCTTGTCCTCTGTGTTTGCAAGCTGTCTTGGGGTGTGCCTGGGCAGCTTCAACAGGTAGGCAGAGGCAGCTCTTCCCTTGACTTGTTATTTGAGCCAGTGCTCTCAGGTCCACTGAGAGCCTCAGGATTTTTCCTCCCTGGGAAGGAGCCTTTTGGTGGTCAGTCCAAAGCTCAACAGCTGTGACTCAATCTATAATGCCTTCTCATAGCATCGCTTGCATAAGTAAATAGTTGGCCTCCTATTTTGAGAAAGGATGTGTTTGTTCTCAAAGCTGCCCTGTGTCCTGGGCTCACACAGGAAGGCTGAAAAACACCTGCTCCTCCCTGATATTAGGATTTTGAAATAGCCAGGGCAGTTTGGATTCTTCCTCCACTTAAAAAAAAAAAAGTGCACACTGAACCTGCAATATCACACAGGCTTCTCCCCGACATCTGCCCCTCTCTACCTCCCACTTCCTAAGAATCTGGCCTCCTTTCCACTCATTGTAGGTCCCATGCAGACGCTATGCCTTGCTTCTTTTTCACTAATGTCAGCAGTGGTAATGATTAAGTGGGGACACTCCACCCCATTCAGACGGCTTGCTGTCTGTCCCCCACAGCTCCCTATCATGGACCTCGGTGCACTGTGCCAACTTTTCTCCCAGAACTTGTCACTCAAGTGCAAGCGAGGTGAAATCAGAAAGTAAACCCCGTTGATCTGAATCAGGCCACCACCCTTCCAGCGCAGGAATGTGGGTCGGCCTCCTTCTGGCTCGGAAGTGGCTGTCCTTGGAAAAACACAGAGCAGACATCTCACTACCAAGGGGTACTAAACAAAAACTCAAGGCGCAAGTGGAGCAGAAGTATATGCATACACACAAATACATATCGAGATAGGAACTTCAGAGCGGTATTCTGTGCGTGTATGTATGTAAATTTAATCCATTAGGATTTTTTTTTTTTTTGGCAGTGTTGAGAATGGAACCCAGGGCCTCTCGCATGCTAGGCAGGTGCTCTACCACTAAGTCACATCCCCAGCCCTTAGATTTTTTTTTTTTTTAAATAAAGCAGAATTCTAGGTCATGACCTACTTAGTATAAGATTTAGGAGTGGTGGTGGGTGGTGTTCAAGCCATAATGCTATTACCCATTTTAAGATCCCTAGGGTCTGGCTTGCCTTTGACAAAAGAATATCAAAGAAAAATTGCCAATTGTTGTTTCAAAAAAAAGAACAATAAGAAGGTAAAACATCCCACCCCACCCCATCTTTCCCTCCCATTCTCAATCCCTCCAAGAGATTTAAAAAAGAAAAGCCCAGGAAATTCCAAGCATGCATGCCTCCCCAGATAAGACAGAAATTGTAGAAAACCAAACTTCTAAAAGCAAGCATTTTGATCTTCATGCAAACATGGAGTTAATCTTGGGACAGCTAAGCACAATTACACAGATGAATTCATTGTGCGAGATGGTCATTGAGCATAGAGAATGTTAGTGCCGGTTCAGAGTCCAAGCTCTGTAGGGGTCATACCTGAATCTGCTGAGTTGAGCACATGGAAACCTCCGTGTGCATTCAGCCTTGACCATTCTTTTTAATTTATTTCAGAGCTGCTCACTGAGGTGGCTTCAGAAAATGCAAATTGCTGGTGTTGGAAGACCTGCTGGGTTTCGATGTGTGTTAAACTGAAAATAAAAATAAAAATCTTTGGGCCTCTCTTTACATGTGTTAAAGTTGTTCTTCAGGCATGGCATGCTTTTTATGATCCTTTACCCTTTCAATCAACTCTTATTCATCTATGAAGCTGCACAGCCGGGAGGCACCAGCATTGGATAGAGTGTGGTGGCAGCCAGGTGCTGACTCGGGCTCTGTGTCAAACTCCCCTGGAATCCTGGAAACCTCCTCTCTTGACTCCGGGCCTCCACGTTGCACATTGAGGAGATTAGAGACTACATGGTCCAGCTCTCCAATTCAGAGGCTCTGCCTCAGTAGAGTTTGGAAACACCTCTTCACTTTTAAGATTTCCTTTTAAGCAAATGGGAAATACTTCTACAGTGTAAAATGTTAATGACTCTAGAGCCTGAGTGACCTACCAAACCCACAGGCTCAGGGGGCGTGGTTGGATAGAACTCAAGTGCTGGGTAAGGTGATGCAGGCCTATAATCTCTACTATTCAGGAGGCTGAGGCAGGAGGATCCCAAGTTCAAAGCTAGCTCAGGTCATTTAGTGAGCCCCTATTTCAAAATAAAAAGATAAGAAGGGCTGGTGGGGTGGCTCAGCGGTAGAGCATTTGTTTGCCTAGCATGCATGAGGTCTTGGGTTCAATCCCCAGTAGGAAGGAAGGAAGGAAGGAAGGAAGGAAGGAAGGAAGGAAGGAAGGAAGGAAGGATAAACAACTCAAGTCATTGTTTTAAATGTCTGTCCCTATTCCAATCAAAAGAAGTATCAAAAGATACTTCTAACCTCAAGCATCATGGGCCAGGGGAATGTGTGCTTCTCTCAGGGTTTATAATCATAAAATATTTGCACTGAAAGAATAATTGGCAGACATGTGGGCCCAGAGAAGTTAAGCAACTTGTCCACAATCATACAGGCAGCAGAGAAGGAATAAAGACCCTTCCATTCAAAAAAAAAGTCTGGTTGATGCTCCTGCCTGTGCCCTTCGGAGGTAGAGAAGTTCACCTTCTCAACTTGTCTTCCCATTTTCACCCACAGCCTTAACAGGAATAGAATTGTTGCATATTGAGTATTAGAGTTAGATCTTGTTGGAATTCATTAGTGAAATAGGTATGGATAAAAACTCACAATTGCCTCATCTATAGAACAGTTTTTATAGAAGACATGATAAAGGTCTTCATTTGTACCTGCTCCTGCCTGGTCACCAGAGCAGCCAATGAGGCAAGGGAAGAAAGGGGCCCCCACTCCTGGGGACAGTTCCTCCTCAGTGTTGCTATGAGGAATCAGCCTGGAGGAGAGGTCTAGGTTGGCTTTTGTTGTTGCTGTTTGTGGGAATGGAACCCGGGGCCTCCCTCACGTGTTCTCCCTCTGAACCAGAGCCCCAAGTCCTGTGCTGACCCTGAAGCATGAATCAGAACAGGGTCCTGGCTCCCTGAGGGAGCTCTGATCTAAGGAAAACAAGACTGTCTTGGAGTAAAATACAAACAGACCTGGGTGTGGCCCCAGAATGTCCCCTCATCTTGTGCTCTGAGAAAGGGACTCCCATTTCCAGCACTCTCAAATGCTTCAACAACAAACACATTTGTGTCCCAAAGTCAGACCTTCCTACATTGATGGCCGGCCCTTCCATTCAAATGCATTGGGGCTCAGGGATTGGCTGTGAGGGAGGGACACAGAAGCAGAGTCTAAGAAAAGTCACCATGGCCCAGTGGAAATGACACGGAACCAAAGAGGCCAAATTTTGTGGCTTTGGAACTGTGTCACCTTGGACAGGAAATGTACCCTCTCTGTTTGCTCATCTGCAGGAAGGGAAAACCACACTTCCTGAAAGCATCCTTGGAAGGATGGCTATATGCCTTTCCCGTCCTCTCCCTGTCTTCTTAATAGGATCTCTACTGAGAGGCCACCATTTGCTGAGCACCTACTCTGTGCCAGCCACCCTGAGCTCATCTTCACCTCACAACTGAAAACGTGTCTTCTGATGTCCCACATGGAAAACTGTGGTACCCAAGGGAGGGTGCCGTTTGGGCACCATATCCTCCAACACCCCAAATCAATTATTGCAATTCCTCGTGGAACAGCTATGAGTGTATTCATCTGTGACTGGGAGATTGACTTCCTTCTTCCTCTTCTGTGGGTCCCAGTGTCCACTCAATTCCTAGTGACAACTCCCAATGAGACTTAACCCTAATCCCTCTGAACTAGGAAAAGCAACTTTCCACATCTGGAAGAGGAGGGGCCATGCTGCCCTAGACCTCCCCTGTCACCATCCTCCCACAGTCACCCATGTGGCTCACTCTCTCCCCATAATGTACACTGTTGGCCTCACACACCAGGTCCAGGTGCAGAAGAAAGCACCTGTCTAGTGTCAGCCCGGCTCTGTCACTCACCCTGTGGCCTAAGCCAATCCGCTTTCTCTCTCTGAGTCCCAGCTTCCCCATTGGTAGATGAAAGGATCTGGGCGAGGGGTCTCTCCAGGGCCACTCCAGTTCAAAGCCACTGATGTGGCCAGCGTGGGATGAGATTCATCTTCCACCGCAAAATGCTTCTCTTTCTAGCTCCCAAACATAGCAAGGCCTCCTCCATTCTTTCTAGTTAAAGACATTTTGAGCTTTCTTTCCAAAGATGTTGTTTCACCAGGTTTTTGAGACTCACTGCCACTCAGAGAGCCAAATTACCCCAGTGTCAGTGGCTAACAGCAAATTTGATCCAGAAACATCCCTGTGTCTCATCTCAACCCAATTTCTGCTTTGAACCTTATGCCAAGTCTAGGGCTTATCCAGGGTATGTGAGTTAATTACCATATGAAAGAACTCCCTTGGACCATATATAAATAAGCCATGTTTCCATTTAGGTAAGAAAAATACCCAATTCTTCAAAAAATGCATATAAATTCCTGTTTAAATCTTTAGATTTATGCCTATAGAAGATATAATTATGTCCTTGTAGGATACAGGAATCTTCTAGCTGTGAGGATGTGCCAAGAAGCCAGAACGTTCTGCTCAAGAGGAGTCTCTAGCAGGATTCCCACAGATGGTTGTCCAATTTGCTCACTGTACAAGTACACTTGGCTGAGGGGCGTGGGTTGGAAGGAGTGGATAGGGGCTCAAGTCCAGCCTGCCAGACTGGCCAAGTCATGTGCCAAGGTTTTGTCTGTTCAAATGACAGTGCACCTCTTCGGAATTCAGTAGGGCACTGTATATGCTAGCAGACAGACTCTGGCATGAACAGAATGGGTCTCTTCTCTGTTTAAAAACATACCATTTCCAAAAGCTGACACAAAGAGCAGATTCAGGAGACCAGTAGTGAAGGCTGGCAGGGGCTGGTGGGGGGCGGGGTGCTGTGAGAAGAAGTTTGTCTTAGAAACCATCCTGGGTGACCTGAGGGGCTCAGACCTGCACCAGGATCCCACCATGGCTTCTCTGAGCACCTTTGTTAGACCCTTGTTGCTCTTTGTCATGGAACACATGAGGAATCTGATGCACCAGGTCTCTCCCACCGGACTATGTGCCATGTGCAGCCAACGAGATCAGGGATTACGTTTTGCTCTCGTACCCCAGGACCCAGGATGGTGTCTGGGATATGGAGAGGGAAACATAAACGAATGAAAATGGTGCAAATTAAAAGGCCTGGGCCTCCTACTCTGCTTCCCTTCTTTGCCAAAGCCTAGGGGGCTGTCTGGGCACAGTGACATGCAGTCACCATGACCTAAGCCCTGTGCCCAGACCCAGAAAAGACATACCCAATCCTGGCCTGGAATCCAAAGGGTGTGTGAAGATGAAGGAAAACAGGTTCCCAAGCCCCATCCCAAGAGACTGAGAGCCAGGGCTGGGGTTCGCTGGCTTCCTGGGGTCTCCTCGAGGATGGAGAACCCTGTCGAGACATGGGCTGCTGTGGAACCAAGGAGAAGGAGCCGAGGTCCCACGTGAAGGTGCGTGGAAGGCCTTCTATTTGGTCTCCGCTGGGTTTTGATGGCTGACAGAAGAGAAGGACATGGAGAAAGCCCAGAGGGACATCTGAGTGGAAGAGCAGCTTATCCCAGTGAGAGGGGACCCTGCATGGGCTGCATTGACAGGAGCAGGGTGGAGGGGCTGGATCTGAGTGACTAGAATCAGGCTACAGCAGGAAGAGCAAGCCAAAGTCACCTGTCACTCAGCAGGGCTCCCAGCACCCTCTCAGGGAGCCCATATTTCAGCAGCCCACAGGGGAGCTCCTCTGCACCCCGACTTTCACATAGGCCTTGTTCCTGTCTTCAGTTCCATTCACCTTCCCACTTTCTCTTCTTATCTCTTTAGCTGGACTGTGGACTCATGGAAAGGCCTCCTGAGTCCAGTGGCTTTGGGGCAGTATCACTGGGGGCTTCCTCGATCCATAGGCCTGACTTCAGAATTCCAAACTGTCCTAGTGGGAAACCTAGGATCACCAAAGCTGGCAGAGTAGCAGCACCCACACCCAAGACCACGGCCTTGTGTCTCCAACATGGCAGGGGAGAGTCGTTTTTTTTCCTGTATAAAAGCAGCATCTCAGATACAAAGGCAGACCTCAGAAGCACCTGCACATCATGCCTCACTCCCATCTTTGGGGATCCCAGGATGAGGGGTGTGTGAGAGGGGATATGTGTGGAATGGGAGAGAAGATCCTCACAGGCCTGACTTCCCAGAGCAGGCCACAAGCTGCGTGACTCAGGCTGGAGGAATGACCCCTCACCCTAGGCTCCCATCCCTCCTTCCACACTTGTTATTACCTCCCTTCTCCCCAGCCCTCCCCTGCCCCCTCTGGTCACACAGTTGGCCAAGGGGCCTCAGCTGGGTTAGCCTGCCAATGCTCCCTCCTGACTTGACATTTCTATCAGGCCTGGCTGGTCCCTGCACATGTTTTCTGGCACATATGCTAAGAGAAGAAGGGCAAGTCCTCAGCATGTGCTCCCTCTCTTTGGCCCAGGTGGCCTCTAAGGAATCAAGGGGGACCTTAAGTTCCCAGCCTCGGCACCAAGCTGCACATCCAGGTGTCTTCTGAGCAATGCCCCACACCACAGTTCAGTGCCATCCCGCCAGAGCCTGAACTATCTTGTCTGCTGTCCAGTTATAAATTAATCTCTTGTCATCAGTGATTAACTCATTCAAGTCACAGGAGCTGCTGAACCAAAACAGCCCCTTGAGGTGAACGAGTCTGCAGCGTGGTGCGGTGCGTGGATCTGCCATGACCCTAGTCATTCTGGCTCTTGTGCTGTGTCAGCGGGGACGGCCAGCACAGGGGTCCTGCTCTGGGCACTGCTGCCCTGGAACGCTCGTCGGTCCCTCCAGGTGGGGATCCACATTGTAAAGGTCTGGGGCTTGTTTTCTCTTGTGTGTTTGTCTGCCAGTCAGGTTTTGAAAATAGGATTGGAGTGAGGCCTCTTCTTGGGGTGTATGTCCCCTGAATACAACAACCTGGCGCTGATACGGAGGCAAAGGGGAGTCCAACTCTGGAATTCACTGAACATGGAGGGAAGCTCTGGGTCCTCTCTTAGAGCATAAACCACACAATGGGAAGAAGGAAGCCTTGAAGGCAATCAGTTCCAACTTCCTAGTTCTACAGAGGCCAAGGAAGAGGGCTTGTCTCACCCAACACCACCCTGTAGGGTGAATGGGGGAGTTGAAGGTCAAGTCATGTTTGTCCAACCAAGTCTCATTGCTTTACACCCAGGATGATAGGCAACATGCAGCTCACTTTGGAAAAAGTTCCAAAGAATTTTTCTATATTTTATTCCTGCCATTTGAAGACCTTCTCAGATTCTTCTCTCTTCAATGCTGAGGGCTGAACCCAGGGCCTCCCACATACCAGGCAAGTGCTCTACCACTGAGCTGCACCCCTAGCTTCTCTTGAGTTCCTTGAACACCCTGGCAGTTTGAGTCTCACTTCTTAATTCAGGACACTTCACAGCAATTTATGAATGGTACCTTTTTTCAACTCTCTGGCCATCCCCAGAAAAATCATAGCTCCTATCTAACCAGGCGAAAGACAGCAGACTAATCCCACCTGAAGGATATTTATTTGAAAAGAACCTGACCAATACTGCTCAAAACTGTGAAGGTTACCAAGAACAAAGAGAGCCTCTGAAACTGTCACCGAGAAGAGAAGGCTAAGGAGAGGTGGGGTCTCAGTGCCTAGTGGCATAAGGGATGAGGCCTAGAATGGGAAAAGGGTCACTAGGGGGAAACTAGTAGAATCTGAATAAAGTATAGAGTGAATAATGTGGTAACAGTGCTGGTTCCTTATTGGAACAAATGTGCTGTGGTAATAGGAGATGTTAGAAGGCAAAATTGGGAATGGGATACAGGAACTCTGTACTAACTCTGCACCATTTCTATAAATCTAAGATTATTTTAAAACTTTTAAAAAATAATTTAAAAACTTTAAAAGATAGTGCCCTTCAATTTCTCTCAGTCTGGAAGTTTAATGTATGTTACCTTACAATGCCATAGCATGGTGGATGGGAAAGAAGGAGTAAGAGGAGAAAGGAAGGATGGATGGAGAAGAGAGAAAGGTGGGAAAGAAGGGCAAGAAGAAGGGAAGAAAACACTGAGGTACAAAACACAAGAGTCAATGTCACCATCATTTGACTGATGAATGGATAAACTATGGTACGTCCATTCAATGGGATAGAATTTGGTCACAACAAGAAATTAAGTTCTGATGCATACTATGATGTGGAAGAACTTAGGAACAAGCTCAGTGGAGGAAGGGAGATGCGAAAGGCCACATATCGCATGATTCTGTTTACATGAAATGTCCCCATGCAAATAAGAAATGTCCAAAAGGCGAATCTGTACAACAGAAGGTAGGCGAGGAGTTAGCATGGGTGGGGAAGGAGTGACATTCATGGATACCGTGTCTCCTCTGTGGTGATGAAGTATTGGAATTAGATGGTGTTGATGTGGAACCTCATGAATGTACTGCAACCACAGAACTGTATACATTAAAAGGGTGAATATTAAAGTACATGAATCATAAAAGAAATTTTAAAATAAAACTTTTGAAAATCAAATGTACCCCAATCTCTACCTTCAAGAAGCTCAGAGTGTACTGGGGAAAATCATTCCGGTCCCATGATTATAAGCCATGCCTCTCCTCTGTAAGCTCCTTGGGACCAGGGACCAGGACTGTTCTGTTCACCATTGTGTCTCCAGCACCTGGCACAAGGCTTGGTCCCCAGCAGACTCTCAAGAATTACTCACTAAATGAAGTAGTGAGAGTGTTAAGTCCTGAGATGGGTATATGTACGAAGCTGTGGGGTCACCAAGAAGAGATTAACTTTCTGAGTGTTCCTAAAAATCACAGGCTGTTCAGTTCCTTGGTCCATTTATTGATTGGTTTATTTGTTGTTGCGGTTATTTTTGGTTTTTTTTTTTTTGGTGTTCAGCTTTTTTAGTTCTTTATATACCCTAGAGATTAGTGCTCTATCTGATGTATAAGTGGTAAAAATTTGCTCACAAGCTGTAGGCTCTCTATTCACCTCTCTGATTGTTTCTTTTGCTCGAGAATAAGCTTTTTAGTTTGAATCCGTCCCATTTATTTATATTGGGATGGAAATATTTATTTTATATTATATATTATATTATAATTTTAATATAATATAAAATACTTATTTTATATTATATTAAAATTAATTCTTGATTTTAATTCTTGCACTATAGGAGTCTTATTAAGGAAGTAGGGGCCTAATCTGATATGATGGAGATTTGGGCCTACTTTTTCTTCTACTAGACACAGGATCTCTGGTTTAATTCCTCGGTCCTTGATCCAGTTAGAATTGAGTTTTGTGCATGGTGATTTAATTTCATTTTGTTGCATATGGATTTCCAGTTTTTCCAGCACCATTTGTTGAAGAGGCTATCTTTTCTTTAATGTGTGTTTTTGGCGCCTTTGTCTAATATAAGGTAACTATAATTATGTGGGTTAGTCTCTGTGTCCTCTATTCTGTACCATTGGTCTATCAGCCTATTTTGGTGCCAATACCATGCTGTTTTTGTTACTATTGCTCTGCAGTGTAGTTTAAAGTCTGATATAGTGATGCTACCTGCTTCACTCTTCTTGCTAAGGATTGCTTTAGCTATTCTGATTTTTCCAGATAAATTTTATGACTGCTTTTTCTATTTCTATGAGGAATGTCATTGGGATTTTGATTGGAATTACATTAAATCTGCATAATGCTTTTGGTAGTATGGTCATTTTGACAATATTAATTCTGCCTATCCAAGAACAAGGGAGATCTTTCCATATTCTAAGGTCTTCTTTAATTTCTTTCTTTAGCATTCTATGGTTTTCATTGTAGAGGTCTTTCACATCTTTTGTTAGGTTGATTCCCAATGTTTTTTTTTTTTTTTAGGCTATTGTAAAGAGGGTAGTTTTCCTTGTTTCCCTTTCAGAGGATTTGTAATAAATGGGCCAAGGAAATGAACAGACACTTCTCAGAAGGTGATATACAATCAATAAACAAATATATAAAAAAATGTTTACATCTCTGGCAATTAGAGAAATGCAAACCAAAACTATTCTTAAGATTTCATCTCACTCCAGTCAGAATGGCAGCTATTATAAAGACAAACAATAATAAATGTTGGCGAGGATGTGGGGGAAGACACACTCCTATATTGCTGGTGGTACTGCAAAATGGTGCAGCTAATATGGAAAGCAGTATGGAGATTCCTTGGAAAACTGGGAATGGAACCACCATTTGACCCAGCTATCCCACACCTCGGTCTATACCCAAAGGACTTAAAAACAGCATACTACAGGGACATCAATGTTTATAGTAGCATACTACAGCATACTACAGCCACATCAATGTTTATAGCAGCACAATTCACAATAGCTGAACTATGAAGCCAACCTAGATGCCCTTCAGTGGATAAATGGATAAAAAATGTAGTATATATACACACAATGGAATTTTACTCAGCACCAAAAGAGAATAAAATCATGGCATTTGCAGATAATTGGATGGAGTTGGAGAATATCATGCTAAGTGAAGTTAGCCAATTCCAAAAAACCAAATGCTGAATGTTTTTTCTGACATAAGAAGGCTGATTCATAGTGGGGTTTGGAGGAGGCGCATGGGAGGAATAGACGAACTCTAGATAGGGCAAAGGGGAGGGAGAGGAAGGGAGGAGACAAGGGGGTAAAAAAGATGGTGGAATGAGATGGAAATCACTACCCTAAATACATGTATAAAGACACCAATGGTGTGAATATACTTTGTTTACAACCAGAGACATGAAAAATGTGCTCTATATGTGTAATATGAATTGTAATGCATTCTGCTGTCATAAATAACAAATTAGAATAAAAAATTTAAAAAAAAATCACAGGCTGTAATGTGGACAAGACCTACCTCATCATGACACCGCAAAGGCTTTCAAAGCTCTTCCAAAGCTGGTGACTAATCCCTATAATCCTGAGTCCCCATGGAAAGCCTACAAGGATGGCTCCTTCCAGCCCACCCAACATGGGCACTTCCTCTTGGATACTCACAAACTCACTGAGGAAGCTTGTTGCAGTCCAGACCCACCCACTCCATGCTGTCCTGGGAGCTCCTGGTCTGGAGAAGGTGACATGCATACTCACAAATGCCAAGCCCTGCCTTGACACACTGTGCTGAGATGGAGGGCAGAGGTCTATGGCAGAGGGAGTGAGA